ACTTGTCACCTTCCACAGAAACTTGCATCATAATCATTTCACTGAAAGGTGGCAAATAAAAGAACTGGAGTAGCACTTAAATCTGACTAAACTGCCCATACCTCATTGTTTGCATGTTTCAGTTTTAACACAACTTCAATTGAACCCTTTGGCACAAAATCAAGCAACCAAAACCCCTTACCGTAGCAAACAACCTCCTCATGGTCCAGTCCTATGTACATTGCTGTTGCAGGTCATAAGGAAAATAAGAGATCCAAGATGGAGCGAGGAGTTCCAGTTCATGGTAGACGAGCCTCCGGTGGAAGACAAGATCCACATCGAAGTTAAAAGCAAACGCCGCGGACTTCCCTTCCGCAACAAGGCAAGTCATTCATGCTGCAGTTGCAGGCCGAAGCATCTCCTCCCTCTTTGCTGTCTGTCATAAGTCATAACGCTTAGCTAACGCTCGATCTCTCGATCTTCCAGGAATCGCTGGGGCATGTGAATATAAACCTGGTGGATGTAGCGAACAACGGTTGATCGTAACGAGAAGTACCACCTCATCAACTCGAGGAACGGGATGATACACGTGGAGATCAAATGGAGCACGGTCTGATTATTCTGTTGTACATAGTTCAGTTCACCACACTCCTTTTGTGCTCGTGTGATGCAGCTTTCAGTTCGTGCAATGTTCCTTCTGTCGCTGTTAGCTTAAAAATTGTAACATCAATGGGCTACAAAGAGGCGTGTGACTGGTTTGTGCTGTTATTATTATAAGCCGATAAGGGCTTGTTTAGTCGCTTGCACTTGCAGCCTTGCACTGGCAACATTTGGTGAGGCATGAGTACCAAAATCCTCAAGAGTAGTCAAACGTACCACCACAAAAATCAGCAGATGAGAAGGGCAGACGCTGATAGAAAAACTTTTGCGACTTTACTGTAAACTAAAAAACTGTTTGGCAAAGCTCTTAGATTTATTTATCCTGGGGATATCAACAATATCGTGGCCACTGGCCACTCTTCCACTGGCGACAAGAAAATTCAGCATGGCCACGTTATTGACGACATGCTAATAAGATGCAAGAAATAGAACATTAGAGCGCACTGCGAGCGAACAGGCTACAACAAATGAGCGTCGAGCATATCTGACAGAAACAATTGGCTAGTATTTGAACGCTACAACAAACCTCATCAAGAGATTATCCAAGCAACAGTGAATTGAAACACGCCTAGAGGGGTCACACTTGTCATAGCAACTAGACAGGCACCCACTGACCCACCACATGGTCTGCCTTCTGCAGTCACGCTGCAAAACAATTGCTGAATTAAGCTGTCACTTGCAGAAACACTGGCTGCTGGTGAGCTACCGGGTAGAGATCATTCCGCGGTGCGGTACCCTCCCGTGACAAAAGGGCTGCCAGTTTACTCAGCCCAGCAACTGGTTCTAGATATTTACATGGAGTACAACTAAAGCTTAAATTAACAAACCAAAAGCTGCTTCCAGCTCTACACGCTAAACTTTACAAGCCTCCTGGCAAAATAATCAGCTGATCACTGCCCAGCAGCGCTGACCACTGTCCTCCAACAATCCCCGGAGCTCCAAGCTGCAAGCAAGACTGAGAATGTTTACATGTTCAGTTCGCCAGTAAGATCGGCGTGTTTTTTTTTCTTCCCAGAAAGCATAAGCGAGACAACTCCGCCTATGTTGTCTCAACATAGCAGGTCTCAAGCCCTGGTAAAGGAGGACGGTTATGATAGGCGTGGCGAGCCAACGTTAAATCTAGCCATTCTAATGGAGATGAAATCCGAAAGAAAACCGTTGGGACGTAACCCTCTTAGTGACGCGCCATATCGGAACCCAGGTATGGCGTTAAATGAGCAAGGGCCGGGTCGTCACCCCCGTGACGCGCCGTGTCACGATCTGGGCACGGTGTCAAGTGATCAAGGATCGAGTCATCGCATTCTTAGTGGCGCGCTACATCGGCGCCCGGGTGTAGTGAAAAATGAGCAAGGGTTTTCATATCTGAGTCGACGGGTGCGAAGGGTAAGGAAGCTAGTCAAACCAACTAGGATCTGTTTAGTTAGTTGGAATGTAGGGTCGCTTACAGGTAAGTTAAGAGAATTAGTTGATACCGCGACTAGGAGGCGTGTAAATATATTATGCGTTCAAGAGACTAAATGGAAGGGTCAGAAGGTGAAGGAGGTGGACAATATAGGTTTCAAGCTTTGGTACACAAGGACAGTTGCGAATAGAAATGGACTAGGGGTTTTGATTGATAAGAGTCTCAAGAATAGTATGGTGGGAGTGAGAAGGCAAGGAGATAGGATTATCTTAGTCAAGCTTGTCATTGGTGATATGGTCTTGAACGTAATTAGTGCATATGCCCCCCAAGTAGGTCTCGACGAGAGTGCTAAGAGACAGTTCTGGGAAGACTTAGATGGCCTGATTAGAGTTTTACTAGTAGTGAGAAGCTTTTTATATGAGGAGATCTTAATGAGCATGTAGGTACTACAAGCGCAGGTTTCGAGGCAGTTTATGGAGGTTTTGGGTATGGTAGTAGGAATTAGGAGGGGAAGGAAGTTCTGGACTTCACGGTCGCTTTTAACCTGATGATAGCTAACACTTTCTTTAGAAAGAGAGAATCTCATCTAGTGACCTTCAGTAGTGGACAACACTCTAGCCAGATTGACTTTGTTCTTGCAAGAAGAAAGGACAAATGAGCATGCTTGGGTTGCAAGGTGATACCAGGGGAGTGTGTTGTTTCTCAACATAAGCTTTTGGTGGTAGACTTTCGTTTTCATGTGCGTGCCCGTAAGGATAAACAAGATAAGATTGAAAGAACAAAGTGGTGGAAACTGAAAGGAGAGACGTCAGAGGTATTTAGGGAAATGGTTATCAAAGAGAGCTCTTGGAAGGAAGAAGAGGACATAAACAACATGTGGAAGAAGATGGCAACCAACATCCGGAAGGTGGCCTCAGAGGTGTGGAGTAACCAAAGGAAGTGGAGGTGAGGCTAAAGATACTTGGTGGTGGAACGAGAAAGTCTAAAGGGCTATTAAGGAGAAGAAAGAATGCTATAGACGCTTATACCATGACAGGAGTGTGGACAACATAGAGAAGTACAAGATGCAAAGAAGACTGCAAAGCGAGTTGTAAGTGTGGCAAAGGGTAGAGCGTACGCGGACCTTTACCAACGTTTGAGTACGAATGAAGAAGAGAAGGACATTTATAGGATGGCTAGGGTTCGTGAGAGAAAGACAAGGGACTTCAACCAAGTTAAGTGCATTAAGGATGAAAGGGAGCATCTCTTGGTGAAGGAGGATGAGATCCGACATCGATGACAAGAGTATTTTGACAAATTATTCAATGGTGAGAATACGTACACAATCTTTCAGTTGGATGACTCTTTTGATGACACCAATAGACGCTTTGTGCGTAAAATCCAAGAATCTGAGGTCAGAAAGACGTTGAAAAGGATGAAAGGAGGTAAGACGATGGGACCGGATGGTATCCCAATCGAGGTGTGGAGATGCCTCGGGGACATAGCTATAGTATGGCTAACCAAGCTGTTCAACCATATTTTTCGATCGAACAAGATGCCTGATGAGTGGAGGAGAAGTATATCGGTACCGATCTATAAGAATAAAGGGGATATTCAAAGCTGTACAAATTATCAAGGAATTAAGTTGATGAGCCATACTATGAAGCTATGGGAGAGAGTTATCGAGCATCGCTTGAGAGCAATAACGCGGGTCTCTACGAACCAATTTGGTTTTATGCCCGGAAGGTCAACCATGGAAGCTATTTTTTTAATAAGACAAGTTATGGAGCGGTATGGAAAAAAGAAGAAGGACCTACACATGGTTTTTATTGATTTGGAGAAGGCTTATGATAAAATACCAAGGAATGTTATGTGGTGGGTTTGGACAAATATAAAGTCCCAACGAAGTACGTCGGGCTCATTAAGGACATGTACAACAATATTGTGACTAGAGTTCGAACAAGTGATGGAGACACGGATGACTTCCCGATTAGGATAGGACTACAACAAAGATCAGCTTTGAGCCCTTATTTGTTTGTCTTAATGATGGATAAGATCACAAGGGACATACAGGGGGACATTCCTTGGTGTATGCTTTTCACGGACGATGTAGTGCTAGTTGATGAAAGCCGGACAGGAGTGAATCAGAAACTGGAGTTATGGCGGGAGACTTTGGAGTCCAAATGTTTGACTTAGTAGAACTAAAACTGAATGTATGAGATGTGACTTCGGCACTACTACTCGGGAGGAGGAAGATATTTGTTTGGAAGGTCAAGTAGTGCCTAGGAAGGATACCTTTCGATATTTAAGATCAATGCTACAGAGAGACGGGGATATTGATGAAGATGTTAACCATAGAATCAAAGCAGGGTGGATGAAGTGGCGGCAAGCATTTGGTGTCCTATGTGACAAAAGGGTACCACAGAAGCTAAAAGGCAAGTTTTATAGGACGGCGATTAGACCTGCTATGTTGTATGGTGCAGAATGTTGGCCTATGAAAAGACAACATGTTCAACAGATAAGTATCGCAGAAATGCGTATGTTGCGTTGGATTTGCGGTCATACAAAAAGGGATCGAGTTCGGAACGATAATATACGTGATAGATTAGGGGTAGCACCAATTGAAGAAAAGCTTGTCTAACATCGGTTAAGATGGTTTGGACATGTCCAACGGAGATCTCCAGAGGCACCGGTGCGTAGTGAAATCCTAAGCCAGGATAGTAACGTGAAGAGAGACAGAGGAAGACCGAAATTGACTTGGTAGAGGCAATAAAAGAAGACTTGAAATGATGGAATATACCCAAAAATTTAGCCTTAGATAGGAGTGCTTGAAAGACAACTATTCACGTGCCTGAACCTTGATTGCATCTGCTAGGTTTCAACTCTAGCCTACCATAACTTATTTAGAACTTAAAGACTTTGTTGTTGTTGTTGTTGTTGTTGTAAAGCATAAGCGAGACGAGTACCTTTTGCTGGCTCCTCAATCCATGGGCCGTTCATAATGTTCAGAGAATGCTGCAGGCATTGCTGTACTCCAGATCAGGTAGAAGCTAGGCGTCAGAAGGAAGCACCTGCAGGCAAAAGAAAGGGGAGGTTAGATCTGCATGCTGTACAAAGTGTTGAGTGCACTGTCACTCACTGTGGCATGCTGTACTCCAGATCAAAAGAAGATTTGGCTGGCAGCTCTGACAAGCTGCTGAAACATTTTCCTCTCGTTTATGGGGTCCAATCCTGCATATTCGGATGAATGCATTAGACCAAAAATTGTGCCTCCAAGGTTAAGTGCAGTTCTGGCGCCCTCTACATAGCAAACAGAACTCAAAATTCATCAAAAGAAGATTGATTACAGAAAAAAGCAAAGGCATCTGAGTAGTAGGTCAATACGAACCTAAGAGCTGAGTGGGGATCACCACAAATTCTGCAATCAACAACCTAAGAGAGAGAAAGTTTGTTAGGATTTAGGGAAAAAACATTCTTGATCATGTTGACAGAAGAACAGTAAACATGATCACTTAATAGACTCTGCTTTATAACTTCTGTTGATCAGCACAAGAAATAATGCGGTGAAATATCGCATGAGCAGTACAAGTAAAAATCAGTCTTTTTCAGATCAAATAACTTACTTGCCCACAGGTAGCAAAGATATCGGCAAGTCTCTCCTCTGTCACCTAACAAATGGTCAACATCATTAGATCTTATATAACAACTCAAGAATATATAATATATAGTAATCAAAAGAAAGAGCGCAAACCTTTTCCCAAAGAGTAACGCCAACCACCGCACTACGGGAACGATCAATCGGTAACACAGGAGAAAACCCAAACTTTACCAAACAACTGGTGAGAAAAGCAATCAAATCCTACACACAAACCCAACCACAGCGCCGATCCAAGCGCCCCGCTCTCCGTTGAAGAATCAAGTCTAGAACAAAAGCTGGGTCAGGAATTATACCCTGCGGTGCTGGTTCCCAAACCCAACGTAAAAGGCAGCGTCGGTGGCCCCATTCCTGCCTCTGATGGAGTGGCAATCGAACACCGGCGCATTCGCCGACAGCGCCTTCTTGGGCGGCGACACGGCCGCGGAGGGGACGAACTCCTTGGCGGCCAGGTTTAGCTTGGACAGCAGGTCCACCAGCTTCTGCACGCCCGCCTGGTACTCCACCTCCTTCGCCGCCGCAGATGCCGATCCCTCCGCCACCGCCGCCATACCTAGGACTGAGACGAGGCGGATCGATCGAGCCAGACGCCGGCGGCCGCCTGCCGATCTCGGTCAAACCCGTCCGCGGCCGGATGGGTGGGGTGGGGTGGGGTAGGAAGTGCCGGACGGATTCCACTGGCGCGAGGTCATCCAGCGGCCCGGCTCTGCACACCGGAGCTGAGGACGGTGGTGGGTGGGTCGCCCTAGGCCGGATCGAGAGAAAGAGGATTTAATTTGGGCTGAATCTGAGCATCATCTTGAGGCCCAACATAGTCTGAAGTTTTTTTCTTTTTAATTTGTATAATAAAATTTGAAAATAATTTTGAAACAGTAAATTATTTCAATTGAACAAGTCATCAACAAAAAAAGTTGTACAACTTATCAAGATCTACAACTTTTGTTTTGTTCATTTCACCATCTGACTTTGTTTGAACCATTCAAAATTTGAATTTCAAAATATTACAACCTCAAATAGAATTTTGGAACAAAAAATGATTTCAAATGAAAAAGTCAACAATAACAAAGTTGTACAAATCATCGACATTTACAACTTTTATTTTGATCATTTCTCCATCCGACTTTATTCGAACAATTCAAAATTTGAATTTTAAAGTATAAGAACTTTGAAAAGAATTTTTGGATAACAAATGATTTCAAATGAAAAAGTCACAAACAACAAAGTTGTAGAAATCATCAAGATCTACAACTTTTATTTTGGTCATTTCTCCATCCAACACCATTTGAACAAAGTGGTAGTATACATGTTTACAACTGGATACATCTTCGTACTCTTCCCATATAACCATGCGAGAGAGATATCAAATCATGAATGATGTGTACTGCCACTTTGTTGAAATCATTTGAGTTTTTTATGCAACGATTATGTAATAAACACATAGAACCATGCAAAATTATAGATTTTTCTGACAAAATTTAGAATTATTACAATTATTTTATGGTAATTTAGGATCAGAAGGATGAACTATTCCTAGAAAAAAATGTTTTCCTCCAACAACCGTAGGACATATATAGAGTGAAATATATGAGCATAAATATATTTTTATAATTTTTTTAATCCTATCGGAAATACGTACAGTTCAATTTGGAATTACTTTCGGTAAGCACGCAGAAATTTATTTAAACGACAGAAAATATCAAATAAGTTTCAAAATTTTTGAAACTCCTCCACAACAACATATATGTAGGCTATTGCTTGTTAAAAAAGTTTCAAAGTATGGATGATTGTGTGCAAAACTTATATAGAGACTTGAATAAATTCCCTTGTTCTAAAAATGATATTATGCTGTTTTCAACATGAGTGAGTAATAATAAAATTTCTAAAAATGATGGCTCGTCAGCTAGTTGGGCAACAGAAGTTAGCAGGCGGTCCATGTGCATGTGCACGTGAGGCTTTGGCCTGACGTATTGCCGTGCGCGCGTGCAGCAGCGAAAGGAAGGAACAACGTGGCCCATTAGTGTCTAGCGAGTGTGGGCCGAACAGACGGGCCTCGTTCCATCACAGTCGTTGCATTGCGGCGCTGCCACTAGTGGTGCGCGGGGGAATAGCACCACATTGCTAGCGGAAAGACGAAGCCGAGGAGAGGCTGGCTACATAATGAGGGCGACGTGCGGCTGGTAGAAATACGCAGCTGCGCGGTGAGAACAAAGCCAACCATTCCTTCGCTTTGTACCCAACAAATTAAGTTAAATGTTTATAATTTATATATAATTCATTACAATTTATTTTTAATTTTTATATTTATATGTATAATAATTTTTATAATAATTAATTATAATTACTTTAATTTAATTACTTTTAATTAATGGTAATTGATTTTGATTTCAATAATTTAGTTTATTTTAATTTAGTTAACCATATTTATTTTTATAAAAAATATCATAATATTTTTTTCTGACTATCATAATTTTACTATTTATTATTATAAATTATAATAATATATAGTTTTTATGTTTGGTACAGATTAGTGTAAATTATCTGTTGTTACAATAAGGTTCCAATTTACTTTTAGTATAATGTTGTTATTTTTCCTTGCTGTAATTTGGAACCTATTCTTTTTTTTGGGAGGAGACATGCATAATGTGTGGCGTTGTGCTCAGTAAATGTTACTCTCCTTGAGAAATGCCGAAGCAACATCTCACTAGATTAACAGGAAGGACCGAACACTTTTTGAAATGCCCAAAAGGACTGAACACTTTTTGAAATGCCCAAACAACAGCTCACAGGTTAATAGAGGAAGGACCGAACACTGGTATTTCTGAAATGTAAAAGCTTGTTTCACTGAAACACTGAACATTAGCATGGTCTCCATACATACAGCGTGCCAGAAAACAATGCTACTTTACTGCAGTGCAAACACTATTTGCCCAGTAAATTGTATGCTCTTCGCTTGCCAAAACTGGTGTCATCAGTGTCAATCATGGCCTGATTATGCCCATGTCGAAGTACAGCCTCGTCCCGGAGGAGGACCCGCCGCCGGTGACGCCCTCCATGAGCGCGGACCGCATGTCCTCCGAAGGCTTCCAGTGCCGCTTCCGCTGGTTGATCTGCTTCGGGTCTAGCCCAGTCATCGCCGCCAGCCTCACCTTATCCTCTTCCTGCAAAAGCGCCACCGTATCAATATCATCCCCAAGATACTGACATTTGAGCAATGCTGATCACAGATTTGACATTTGAGCAAGGAAAGATCAAAGGTGTGTGTTTGTCAGGATGTTACCGTAGGGTACGGCCAGTGGTACTGGGTGTTCCACCAGTCCATCAGGACCGACCGAGCGTCCTTCGGTAGCTTCCCTTTCTTCCTCTTCTTCAGGAACTCGGACCGCAACCAGCTGAGACAGCCGCTGTACTTCTTCAGCAGCATCTCCTTGAGCTCACGGTCAGCCAACCGTGAGCTGTGCTCCTGACCCAGGTCCGTCGCGTCTGTGTCTCCTGAGCATGGTTCGTCCTCAGAGGACCCCACAATTTCATCCTGATGCAAAAATTCCAAATCAGATTGTTGTTTTCAACATAATGGAAATTGCTAGGCACAATATGGTGGATTGGGCATCATAAAAAGATTTTAGGACAGTAGGAGAGCAGATTAGATTATGAGACTAATGCAAAACAGTGAGACAAGATCCCATCCACGGGCTGGTAAAAACTGGACATAAGCCCCTTTTTGATAAAACAGATAGACACTGAGAACCAGCCTTCTGTAGTAAGTAAAAACAGTAACATTCAGATTTTCTTTTTTCTGACAAAAGTCCAAGGACTGCAGCACAGAAAAGTAGTGAACGTGAAAAATGTAACTTTACAAAGATATGGACGAGATGCAATTCAGACTACAAAGAAAAACAAAACAAAGCTAGATGTTTGATCAGCTTCCAAATATCCTGTCAAATCTATATCGTCTCCAAATTTTTCTTACTTTCTTACCAAATACAGTGAAGGATCAATATTTTATTCTGCGACATCATACCAGTTTGATCCTCATAACCAATAGCGAACAAAAGAATCATCATGGTTCATGTTTTTTCCCATTTCAATGAAGAATTGCAGTTAAATCTAAGACAAAACTGGCAATTTTAGAATTGGTATTCCAGGAAACAGAGAAAGCATTAGCATCCCTTCTACACGTTCCTAAAGCAATCTTGTCATGTGCGGGAAAACGTACACGAGGCGTCGCCGTGCCCGCGACGTGCGCAGGGTTGCGAAGCGCGCTGCACAGGCACGGCAGGAGATCGACGAACCGGTCAAGATCGACACCAGTGGCTAGAAATCGGCAGGATTAGCTTTGTTTCCAGATTTATAGTTTCCTATTTTGGTTGCTTGTTTTCAGGAGCCATTGGCTCAGCAGTTGTGGCCGCAGGCCTTATAATTGTGTAACCCAAACGTTGAAGGGTTAAGAAAGATCAATTACCCAAACTCTCTCTTCCTCCCCCTTGTGCTCTCAAGCCCAGAAGCCGAGAGGGGCATAACCTCCGTTCTGGAAGACACGGCACGAGACTACGAGCTGCGTAGTCGAGGGCCAGCTACTCTAGATCACCAGGCCCTTGACAACCTGGTATCACGATCCACTCGATCCTCAGCCTCCTCAGCCGCCGCGCCATCATCTCCGACACCAGCCGCCACCGCCGCAAACCCTAGCCCACCACCATCTCCCGCTGCCCCCACAACCATTCCAGCCGCTATGGCTCAACCCACCCTCGCCGAAGTCATGGACATGCTCAAGTCCATGAGAACGGAGATGTCCACCCTGCAGTCCGACATGGCGGCCATGAAGGACAAGTCCTCATCGTCTTCCGGCGGCGGCGACGATCGTCGTTCCGAAGGCCCGCGCGATCAGGACTTCCACCCCAAGCACAAGAAGTGGGACTTCCCCCGCTACGACGGCACGACCGATCCGATGCTCTTCCTCAACAAATGTGAGGCTTACTTCCACCAACATCGAACCATGGCGGAGGAGCGGGTGTTGATCGCGTCGTATCACCTCGACGACGTCGCGCAGTTGTGGTTCACACAGCTGCAGGATGACGACGGCACACCGACGTGGCCTCGTTTCAAGGACTTCCTGAACCTCCGGTTCGGACCACCCCTTCGTTCCGCGCCGATGTTCGAACTCGCCGAGTGCCGGCGCACCGGGACCGTGGAGGAGTACGCCAACCGGTTCCAGGCCCTCCTGCCCCGCGCCGGCCGCTTGGAGGAGGAACAGCGCGTCCAACTGTTTACGGGAGGCCTTCTTCCGCCGTTGAGCAACGCCGTCCGCATCCATCACCCGGACACGCTCGCCGCCGCCATGAGCCTGGCTCGTCAGGTGGAACTGATGGAGGCCGAGCGCCCAGTGCAGCATCCTCCTCGGGCGCCACCTCGCGGGCCACCTCCAGCACCCGCCCCTCGGCCGGTCCTTCCGGCGCCTCAGCCGCTACTCGCGCTACCCGCCCCCCCGGCGGCCTCCCAGCAGGGACGCGGCGACGGACACCAACGACGTCTCACCCCGGAGGAGATGGCGGAGCGGCGTCGTCAGAACCTGTGCTTCAACTGCAACGAACGGTACTCCCGGGGCCACAACAGGTTCTGCAAGCGAATCTTCTTCCTCGACGGTGTGGAAATCGACGACGTCGCGGGCGACGACGCGGCAGCAGCCGCGGATGCGGGGGCGGCGGACGCCCCTCTCTTCTCCCTCCACGCGGTCGCGGGCATGGCCGTTGGCACGACCATGTAGATTCGCGTGACGGTGGGCGCTACGTCCCTCCTCGCCCTCATGGATACGGGATCCACCCACAGCTTCATCGCGGAGGACGCAGCACGTCGGACCGGGTTGCCCATCCAGCCTCGTCTGCGCATGACGGCCACCGTCGCCAACGGCGAACAAGTTACGTGCCTGGGCGTCCTCCGTCGCGCCCCGATCACCATCGACAACCTCGGCTTCCACGTCGACTTGTTTGTCATGCCCCTTGCAGGTTACGACATCGTGCTGGGGACCAACTGGATGGCGACGTTGGGCCAACTCGTGTGGGACCTGGTGGAGGGCACCGTCGCGTTCCAGCATGAGGGGCGTACCGTGCGCTGGGAAGGCGTTCCAGCACCAAGCACGTTGGGTCCTTGTGCCACCTCGGCCAGTGACTCCCTGATCGACGAGCTCTTGGCCGGGTTCGCAGATGTCTTCACCGAGCCCTCCGGACTGCCTCCACCCCGCGGCCGCGAACACGGCATCACCCTCAAGCCGGGCGCGCAGCCGGTGGCTGTCCGACCGTATCGGTACCCGGCGGCCCACAAAGATGAGCTGGAACGACAGTGCGCTGCCATGATGGCGCAAGGCATTGTCCGTCGCAGCGACTCCGCGTTCTCCTCGCCGGTCCTCCTCGTCAAGAAGCCCGACGGTACGTGGCGGTTCTGCGTCGACTACAGGGCGCTGAACGCGCTCACCGTCAAGGATGCTTTCCCCATTCCGGTCGTGGACGAGCTTCTCGACGAGCTCCATGGCGCGCGTTTCTTCACCAAGCTCGACTTGCGCTCCGGGTACCACCAGGTCCGCATGCGGCAGGCTGATATCCACAAGACGGCGTTCCGCACGCATGACGGCCTATACGAGTTCCTCGTCATGCCCTTCGGGCTCTACAACGCACCGGCGACGTTCCAGTCCTTGATGAACGACGTCCTCCGGCCGTACCTGCGTCGCTTTGTTCTTGTCTTCTTTGATGACATTTTAATCTACAGTGAGACCTGGGCCGATCACCTTCGCCACATTCGCGTCGTCCTCTCTGAATTGGCACGCCACCAACTCTTCGTCAAGCGCTCTAAATGTTCCTTCGGCGCGACGTCCGTGGCGTATTTGGGGCACGTCATCTCGGCGGCGGGTGTCGCCATGGACCCAGTGAAGGTTCAGGCCATCCACGACTGGCCGGTGCCACGCTCGGCGCGGGCGGTGCGCGGGTTCCTCGGCTTGGCGGGCTACTACCGCAAGTTTGTCCACGACTACGGCACCGTCGCCGCGCCGCTCACAGCTCTCCTCAAGAAGGACGGGTTCTCTTGGTCCGAGGAGGCCGCGGCGGCTTTCGACGCCCTCAAGGCCGCGGTCACCTCGGCCCCGATCCTCACCATGTCGGACTTCAACAAGCAGTTCACCGTCGAATGCGACGCATCGTCACATGGGTTTGGGGCCGTGCTGGTTCAGGAGGGCCACCCGATCGCTTTTTTCAGCCGAGCGGTCGCTCCACGCCATCGCGCCCTCGCCGCTTATGAGCGGGAGCTCATCGGCCTCGTCCTGGCCATCAGGCATTGGCGTCCCTATCTTTGGGGCCGTCGGTTCCTCGTCAAGACCGATCACTTCAGTCTCAAGTATTTACTGGATCAGCGACTCGCCACCATCCCCCAACATCACTGGGTGGGGAAACTCCTCGGCTTCGATTTCACCGTCGAGTACAAGCCCGGCAAGGCGAACACCGTGGCTGACGCCCTGTCGCGCCGTGACACGGAGGAGACGGGGGCGGTGCTGGCCCTGTCCGCCCCGCGCTTCGACTTCGTCGATCGTCTTCGTCAAGCACAACTCGCCGACCCGGCCCTCGCAGCACTACAGGCGGAGGTGCGAGCAGGGAGCCGGGGCGCGCCCTGGACTATCGTCGATGGCATGCTGCAGTTTGCCGGGCGCCTCTACATCCCCCCGACGTCGGCTCTCGTGCAGGAGATCGTGGCTGCGGTGCATGAGGAAGGCCACGAAGGCGTACAGCGAACCCTGCACAGGGTGCGCCGAGATTTTCACTTCCCTAACATGAAGCGGGTTGTGCAGGACTGGGTGCGCGCGTGTCTCACCTGCCAGCGCTACAAGTCGGAGCATTTGCACCCCGCGAGGCTGCTCTTGCCGCTCCCTGTGCCCCAGGGCGTGTGGACTGATGTCGCCCTCGACTTCGTCGAGGCACTACCTCGTGTTCGCGGGAAGTCGGTCATCTTGACCGTGGTTGATCGCTTCAGCAAATACTGCCACTTCATCCCGCTGGCGCACCCGTACTCCGCCGAGTCCGTCGCCCAAGCGTTCTTCACCGACATCGTTCGCCTGCACGGCGTTCCGCAGTCTCTGGTGTCGGACCGCGACCCGGTCTTCACATCCAATTTCTGGCGCGAGCTCATGCGCTTGCTGGGCACGAAGCTGCACATGACTACCGCATTCCATCCCCAGTCAGACGGGCAGTCAGAGGCGGCCAACAGAGTCATCATCATGTACCTACGCTGCATGACTGGGGATCGTCCTCGGCAGTGGCTCAAGTGGCTCCCATGGGCGGAGTTTGTTTTCAACACTGCTTATCAGTCTTCACTGCAGGACACTCCTTTTCGTATCGTCTACGGGCGTGACCCCCCACCATCCGCTCCTATGAGCCGGGGGACACCAGAGTGGCTGCGGTCGCCAAGAGCATGGAAGAGCGTGCGGAGTTCCTTGCTGATATCCGCTATCGCCTTGAACAAGCGCAGGCGACTCAGAAGAAGATGTACGACCGGAAGCACCGCGCGGTGTCTTACAAGGTGGATGAATGGGTCTTACTCCGCCTTCGCCAGTGCGCGGCCGCGTCCATGCGTCTGGAGAACACCGGCAAGCTCAAGCCACGTTACTACGGGCCCTACAAGATCACTGAAGTCATCAATGAGGTCGCCGTCCGCCTGGCCTTACCTCCTCGAGCGCGTCTGCACGACGTCTTCCATGTCAACCTGCTGAAGAAGTTCCATGGCGATCCACCTACTGAGCCTCCACCACTGCCGACACTGCACCACGGCGCGGTGACTCCTGACCCCGTGCGCGTCATCAAGTCCCGTTTGGCTCGCGGTGTGGAGCAAGTGCTGGTCCAGTGGAAGGGAGAGTCGGCTGCCTCGGCAACATGGGAAGACAGGGACCCGTTCATCGCCAAGTACCCCGGATTACAGCTCGAGGACGAGCTGCCTCTCAACGGGGGGAGAGATGTCATGTGCGGGAAAACGTACACGAGGCGTCGCCGTGCCCGCGACGTGCGCAGGGTTGCGGAGCGCGCTGCACAGGCGCGGCAGGAGATCGACGAACCGGTCAAGATCGACACCAGTGGCTAGAAATCGGCAGGATTAGCTTTGTTTCCAGATTTATAGTTTCCTATTTTGGTTGCTTGTTTTCAGGAGCCATTGGCTCAGCAGTTGTGGCCGCAGGCCTTATAATTGTGTAACCCAAACGTTGAAGGGTTAAGAAAGATCAATTACCCAAACTCTCTCTTCCTCCCCCTTGTGCTCTCAAGCCCAGAAGCCGAGAGGGGCATAACCTCCGTTCTGGAAGACACGGCACGAGACTACGAGCTGCGTAGTCGAGGGCCAGCTACCCTAGATCACCAGGCCCTTGACAAATCTAAATTGTCATCCGTGCCACATCAGCACTCGAGTCTGCTCGTGATGGAATGTAATGCTGATTTGTCCACCGGAGCTAAAGCTATCACCTGTTCAGGAACAATGTGTACTCCAATAAACCTTGTCCTCAGGAAGCAAACTCCAGGTGGTGTTTAGTCTTCAGATAAAACATTTCCAGTGTATTGTATTGCAAAGCATATATTTCTAGCAAGTATTGAAAACTGTGTTGGTGCCTTAACTTTTTCTCCCTTCATAAGCTTTGCTTGCAAAACCAGAAAGCGAGCTGCACAACCCCAGTTAGCTTAAATATGTTATGCAGCAAGCCAGTGGTTGAGGCCTCAAAAAAAGTACTATGATGTAAACGACAATAATCTTTCTCATTTAAAAAAAAAAAAGTTGAGCAGGTATGTTTAAGT